GCTACTGAGAAATGGAGTCCCCCATGGGTCCAATGTGGTCTGTGGGCAGGACTTTGCTTACCCCTGCCCTCAGCCCATGGGCTGCTGAGGATCTCCTTGCAAGTGGTTGAGATGCATCCTTTCCCTTGTGTATACTCTTGCACACAGTCCACCCAACCCTTCAGGTTCCCTGGTTGATGAAAGCAGACAGACTCTCTAGTTTTCCAAGGGGTTCAAAAAATCTCCCCTTATGTCAGCAAGTATAAGAAATATATATCGATCGAGGTAAGTAATAAATGCTGACATGTATTGCCCTGCCTCTATTTTCTCTCTTTTTTGGGCTTAAATTACTGCCCACTAGTAACTTAAGAGGTAGGATCCTTCTCTTGCAGATCATGATTTGTCCTCCAAATCATGGAGGAGATGGAACTGGGACTAGCTACTCGGATCAAGGACAACAAGAAGTCCTTTTTTAAATACATAAGGGGCAGAAAGAAGGTACTGAGTAACGTGGGGCCCCTGCAAGACATGCTAGGAAATCTGGTCGTCACACCAGATGACAAAGCTAACCTATTTAACAACTTCTTTGCCTCCATTTTCCTGAGCAGGGACCGGATCAGCCTCCCCCCACCAGGATCCCCCTCAGGCCCCAGGGGAGGCGCACCCAGGCCAAAGGTCAGTGAGGATCTAGTCAGGGAACTTCTGGAGGGACTGGACGTATTTAAATCAGCTGGTCCAGACGATCTCCACCCCAGAGTGCTGAGGGAATTAGCTGAGGTCATTGCGGGACCCCTGGCATGGTTTTATGAGCACTCACGGTGCTCTGGTGTGGTGCCAGAGGACTGGAAGAGGGCCAGCGTGGTTCCCATCTTCAAAAAAGGGAGGAAGGAGGACCCGGGGAACTATAGGCCAGTTAGTCTTACCTCAATTCTGGGTAATATTTTTGAGAGAATTATTCTGGCACATGTCCACGAGGGGCCAGCGGGGGAGGTTATGCTTAGGGGCAACCAACACGGGTTCATTAGAGGCAGGTCCTGTCA